CAGTACTGAACTTAAACGCCTTTTTATCTGACATAAATGTAGGACATAAAGTCTCATACATTTGCTATGAGTCAAAATCAACCGATGGAAGTGAGTGTGATTTTTTTTGGGGGGGGTGAGGAGTAAATCAAGGGCTGTGGCAGGGCTCTTTTGTATTTTATATTTAGTGTGCTTATCAGAAAGGAAATGGTTCTTATCTATGATGTTCTACAAAAAAAACATTTTAATATGGTTTAAAATGTTCTACAAAGAACCATTTAATACTTAAGAACAATTATATTCATTTGACTCTAAAAATAACCTCTACTTCTTAAGAAGCAGCAGACAGTATTCTTTATTTATACTTGCCCAAACATGAAATAGACTTTTAACGGATTGTTAAACATATAATAAGATCAAGTGTGTGTTTCTGTGCTTGTAAGCGCATACAGGCAACTGGCTAGTGCTAATAGGGTTTTTAAAAAAACATTAGGGAAGGACTTAGCATTTATCACACAGATGTGATGATGACTAGTTTAAGAGTTATTTACATAGTACTGAGGAGGAGGTTACCATTATGCAGAGCCTTAGAAAATGAACGGAATGTGCTGACTGGAAATGTTTGGTCTCAGGAAGAAGGTAGGACAGGAAAAGAAGAAAGCATGGCAAATTCAGGAGTTGGCTGTAGGCACCCTAGTAGCTGCTGTGAGAAATTGACCAGGAAAGGTAGCTTTGCAGTATAGTTATTCCTCATCTAGCTTGTACTAGAATTAACTGGGTTTCTTTTAAGAATGTATTGGTGCTGAAGCTCTCTGGGTGATTCTAATCGGAAGGTAAATCTGAGAACCACTTCAATAGTCCATGGGTGGCCTTTTAATGTTACGATGAGTATATATATATATATATATATATTTACTAGGCATTTTTCTGCTCGAAAAAGGACTTGAACTGGTGATAGGGTTTTGGGATTTGTACCGTGCACATGGTTTTGTGTGTGTGTGTGTGTGTGTGTGTGTGTGACAGAGAGAGAGAGAGATAAGAAGGAGCTTCAAAATGTTTGTGGAAAAATTCCAATATCGTTTTTTTTCTCCGTAAATTTCCAAAGGCTTCTGAGAAGTGGAAAATGAGATAGCAGATATCGCAAAAATAAGCTTGTACTCAGTTTTTGACTTGAATTGCATATGAATATGATGGCCTTTGCTAAGCATTTGTATGAAGCATTTATTTGCTTATTTGTCCTGAAAATTAGATACATTGCTTAGCTTGAGAATAGGAATAGTCTTATTAAATGAGTCTTAAAATACCTACAAAAAACAATGCTGATAAGACCTGTCCCTCTGAGAATTCAAATATTAAAGCTAGCAGAACTTAAAACATAATATATGTCCAATGTAATATAATTTGATAGATTTTGTAAACATAGAAACCATAAAAATATAAATATCAATCGTAAAAAAATTATAAGTTCCAATGAATACATGTGTGAATATAAATTGTGGATTTGTGTGTTTAGCAGCTTTTAAGAAGTTTGTGGGAAACTTTTATTACCTTTGAATTCTGTTTTTCAATGAACATTTTGAAGCCGCCTCATTCACAAACCCACACACATGAATTTTATTTTTAATTTCAAAGACAATATCAGAACTGAAACTTAGAGAGAGAAAAGATGGAAAACATAGACAAGAGAGACATTGAGTATGACAAAAATATTTAATAAACATAATTAGTGGCCCAAGAGCAAAAGGGAGACTGGATCAGCAGTGACCATATTTTAAAGATGTAATAGTTTAGATATTACTAAAAATAACATTAAACATCAGGCCAGTTAAGAACTACTATGGAATTCAACTTGAATATATATAAAGAAAACTGGTTCCAAGTCCTAAATATAAATTACACAATTATTAAGACCATCAATTAAAATATAGTGACAAACTTATAGCTTTAATGCAATGCAAGGCATAAACCCATAATGAAAAATATCCACACTATAGAAGACAAAACAACTGGGACCTACTGAAAAACACGTGTATGCACATCAAAAGACTTCATGGAAAAAGTGAACGTCTGTGGGTTCACAGATGGAGAAAAATATTCAGTGTGATACATCAGATAAAAGGGCTAATCAAAATGTAAGGGAAACTCTACAGCATCTTACCCAGAGAAATACAAACAGTCCAACCAAAAAATGGGCACAAGACATGCATGGACAATTTACCAAAGATGACATTCAGACAGCCACCAACCATATGAAGACATGTTCATATTTATTGCCATACGTGAAATACAAATGAAAACAACAATGAGATACCACCTCACACAGCCACTTTTGGCATAATTCAAGAAAACCGAAAATAGCAAATGCTAGAGAGGTTGTTGAGAGATGGGAATGCTTTTACCTTGTTGGTGGGACTGTAGAATTGCACAACCATTATGGAAATCAGTATGGCCAACACTTAGACAAATGCAAATACAAGTGCTTTATGATCTAGCCATCTCTCTACTGGGTATATACCCTAAAGAAATTAAGAATACAACATAAACAAACGTGTGTACACCTTTGTTTCTTTTCAGCATTTTCCACACTAGCAAAACCATGGGAATAACCAAACCCCAGCTATAGAGAAATGGAGAAACACATTCTGAAACGTTCGCACTGTGGAGTTTTATGCCTTAGTAAAACCAGTGTTAACTCTCAAACAGCACAGGACATGGACAAAGCTACAGAGAGCTCTATGCTTAGCAAACTCAGTCAGTCTTACAAAGATAAATTTTGAATATCTATCACCATTGTTATAAGTAAAAGCAAAGAAGAGGAAATGTGGTTTATATTCCCATAAACAAGACTTTGATACCTTTGAGAGGCCAGTCATGGGGTTGGGAATGGGGAAAGTAGGGTTAGGGGGAGAATTGGGGAAAAGTGGGGAGGGGGTTTAGCAGGGTATTATTGTCACAGTGACCCTATAAGACAGAATAGAAGATGTTTCTTTGGGTTTCTGAGGCTTTAAATAATTCCAGGAACAGAAAGCCTCATTTTGCTTCTTCAGAACAGCTCTTGGATTTGAACTGCTGACCCTGGCATTTAGCAGCCCAATGTGTAACCCATGTTGTTACCAGGACTATACTCTTAAGCCATCATTAGTAGAGCGCAGTATATGCCCCAGGGTAGAAACAGGTATTTACAACTGATAACTGAGCACTGATACAGAATATATAAAGAATTACTAAAAATTAATAAACATAGCAGCTTTTTGTAGGAAGTGTACTAAATTTATAGGTAAGTAACTAGACATCATCAAAGTGTGAGAATCTTCTCACTTTTGTTACTCATTAAAGGGATGCAATTTAACTTAAAACAAGATACTGTGTACTCACCAGAATACTAAAAAAGAGGGGGAAGGGAGTGAATAAGGACATAACACTAATGTTGGTGAGAGTTTAGACAGTTCTAACAGAGCTGTCATATACCATTCATGCAAGTGAAAATTGATATAGCTAAGCCATAGAGGTGAGGTTGAACATGCCCATAACCTGATACATCGCACTTTCACCTCTAGTCATATACCCAGCAGAAATGTGTGCTTCATATAGGCATCCAAAGATTGAAATTAGAAATTTCAACCTAGCATTATTTGTATTGGCCCCTAATTGGAAATAACCCAAATGTCCATAATTAGAGTGGATAGCTTGATGTGTGCATATTAATGCCATAGAGCCACAAATAAAAGAACTTAAATTAAGCTCTATCAACAATATGAATCTTAGGATTCCAAAGATGTAAACTTTAATAATAGGTAAGAGTAATTTGTGGGTTAAAAGACACCTTCGGGTAGAACTGGGGTGGTAATTAGGAAGAACTAGGACAACTGTTGAGCAGTGATAATGTTTAATTCTTGCCCTTGGAGGTTGTTACTTAGCTGTGTTCATGTGGTGAGGACTTGTCGAGCATTGGAAGTTAAGCTGGCAATGTTATTTTTAAATTAAAAATAAAGTTCTGAAAGAAGGATTCAGCATTATTAGATGCCACAGAGATTTCAAGGATGATCAGTGCTGAAACCTGTGTTCCAAAAACCAAACCTGTTACCTTTGTGTTGCTTCCAACTCTTAATTAGTTTTTCATTTCTAAGAGGAAAGAGATCCCATTTCTACAAATATTAACTGATTACTTTTTACAGCCCCCTTTAAAAAATTGGCAAAAGACTTAAAACTATTACTGCAGGGAAGATATACCAATGAACCACACCTGAGGAAACGCTCCCATCAGTAGCATCATTCGTTGTTGTTGTTGTCAAGTCATTCGCGTGTCATGGAATAAAGCCAGGCCAACTCTGCCATTGAGTCGATTGTGACTCACGTGGACCCCATAGGACAGGGTGGAACCGCTCCTGAGGGTTTCAGAGACTAATCGTTTGTGTAGGAGGAGAGAGCCGCTCCCTCCGGGTAGCAGCTGGTGAGTTTGGTGCATTCCAACCACCAACCTCGTGGTTATCAGACCACTGTGGTCCATGGTTCTCCAGCAGGGCTTTCTTGGCTATAATCTTAATGGGAGGAGCCTTATTGGCTCATTACTAAAGTGCCTGCAAACCAAGCTGCTTCACAAGAGAAAGAGGTGACACATCTGCTTTCACAAAGAGTATAGACTTGGAAACTCTGGAGTAGTTCTCTTTTCTGCAGAATTGCTGTGAGTTAGAATCGACTTGATAACAGTAGTGAGATTTGGTTTGAAATCTTACTAGAAGCAGATCACAAGACCTGCCTTTCTCAGTACCGTTGGGTGGGTTTTTAAATTCCAACCTTGTTGTTTAATACTCTAGCATAATTTGTATCACCTTGGCTCCCCATTGGTACTATAGAGCTATTGACCTTTATAAACAACAAAAAAAGCATAATGAGAAACCATGCCCCGTTCTCATACTCCTCCAGTTTTAACAATTTTTGACTTTTCCAGTTTTCATAATTTGAAAACTTAGGTCCTTTTTTATTACTGGCTATAATGTCTTAAAATGTTTTTCAATCATCAGATGAAAAACCAGCTCTAGAACAGAAGCCTTCTAAACCAGCTGCTCCACACGTCCCGCTCAAGAAGCCTACTCCGCCCACCAAAGCCAATAATTTAGTGAGATCACCTGCAATCCTGTACCCAAAGCGACCTGAAAAACCAGTTCCTCCACTGCCTCCTATAGCCAAGTAAGTTTTCCCATTCTTAGTTATCTTATTGATTTACCTGCCTTTATTTGCATGCCTTTGTTGCTACTTTTGATTTATGAATCTCAAAGTTATTTTCAAGTAGTAATTTTCTACCTTTTCTTTATAGGCTCAAGTAATTCATTATTCTAGTTGAATACATTTAAAGAATGTTTGCATTTCTGGTTATATTGTGATCAGTGTTGTGGCAGAGATTTATTGTATAGGGAAATCGTTTTACAGAAGGGAAAGAAATTGGTGTTTTTACGCTGTAAAATTTTCAATGTCATTAAATCAGAGTTGGTTTTTTTTTTTCCATTATGTTCATTAGCTTTTTTTTTTTTAATCATTTTATTAGGGGCTCATACAACTCTTATCACATTCCATACATACATCAATTGTGTAAGCGCATTTGTACATTCATTGCCCTCATCATTCTCAAAACATTTCCTCTCCATTTAAGCCCCCGGCAATAGGTCCTCATTTTTCCCCTCCCTCCCCGCTCCCCCTCCCTCATAAGCCCTTGATAATTTATAAAT